TTCTTGTTCAGCGAGTCAGCCATTCATCGGTATCGCACTCGCATCAAATAAAAACCGTGTTTGCTGGAGCTTGGTTGGTCAGTCTAACTCTAACCAGATCTCTTCTCTATACGAAAAGCAAAGCACAGAAAAATCTCAATAAGAATGAGCAGAGGAAGTGGAGGCGGATACGATCGCCATATCACCATATTCTCCCCTGAAGGTCGCCTCTTCCAAGTTGGTAGGCACTGTCTACTGTAATTTTCCTCTCTCTTTCTCATCAAAATATTGATTTTTCCATTGGGTAGTGTTGTTTAATTTAATTTAATGTAATATTGAAATTGTCGGTGCAGAGTATGCGTTCAAGGCAGTAAAGGCAGCTGCGATAACTTCCATTGGAGTTCGCGGCAAGGATTCTGTCTGTGTCGTCACTCAAAAGAAGGTTCCGGTGAGTGACTTTTTTATATTGTTATTATTTTCTTAATTATACTGCATTGCGTTAATTATCTCATAATATATTGCTATTAAGCTGCCTTCTTGATCTAGGGTTTTTTTTTTTTTTTACTTTGTTTGCTATTTTGTTTTTGGTGATAATGGATGAGCAGGACAAGCTTTTGGATCAGACTAGTGTTACTCACCTTTTCCCTATTACCAAGTACCTTGGACTACTCGCTACCGGCATGACAGGTCCACTTCTTTTGCTTCTCTGTTTTTGTTTTTTTAGAAAAATTTGCATTGAATTAGCAGATACTGTTTTAGTTCTCTCTGGTATAATGCAATTAGAGTGGGTTTATGGCGTGCAAGTTTTTATTTATGTCTCAAAATTTGAAGTACAATAGAGCCGTTTATCTATGAGTTTGATTGGAATAACTGAGTGTTACTATCTCTGTCTGTTACCTTCATGTACTAAAAGCTTGGAACTTGATACTCTCATTCAGTCTTGAAATTGTTTTTCAGTTTCAATTCTGATTTGGGATTTTTTGTGTGTCAAATTTGTAGCTGATGCAAGGAATTTAGTCCAACAAGCAAGGAATGAAGCAGCCGAGTTTAGGTTCAGATATGGATATGAAATGCCTGTGGATTCATTAGCCAGATGGTATGTGATTTTCATTGATCATATTGTGGTTACAGAACATTCAGCTATTTGATTATGTTTGATGCCAAGAAGTTTTCATTATGTGGGATGCAAACCCAACTACTGTTGTTCAAAACATCTCCTTTTAAGATAGCAAGTGAAGCTTGCATCTTAACTGTTCTTGCCGATATTTGCAAAAACTGAATTTTAACTGCCTTCTAATCACACAATTTTTGCTTTTCTTTAACGCATGCCCATTCTCTGATATCTTTGAGGGAAGATTGTCAGATGCAAATCAACCGCTCTACGACTTTACTGATGATATTCTCGAAACTTACTTCTTTTCCATCCTTATAATCTTGAATTCTTAATTTTTTTTATCAATGGTCACATGGATTGTTTTCCTCGCTTTACTGCAACTGATAATTTCTTGTGAACTTGCAATGATATTGTTTTGTTGCATGTATAGGATTGCGGACAAATCGCAAGTTTATACTCAGCATGCATATATGAGACCTCTTGGAGTAGGTATGGGTTCTCTTTTTCAGTTCTGCTGTAGTTCTTGAGATTATTACATTTACATGCAGCGCATTTTCATAGGGTGTATCTGAGTGTTTGTAGTGAACATTTACACCTTCTAATTACTGCTGCTGGTCTGATTCTTGTATTCATTTATCTTGATGTCTTTAATATGACTTTCTGTGAAGTTGCTATGGTTTTGGGTATTGATGAAGAGAACGGGCCTCAACTTTACAAGTGTGATCCAGCTGGCCACTTTTTTGGTCACAAGGTATTTGGCAAATTTGTTCTTTTCGCCAAAATGCATTACATTATAGATGCGTTATGCTAGGTATGTTGTGTTTCTATTGCTTAGTGTGTACACCGTGATTCCCATGATCACATACGCAAAGGAACTATGATGAAGCTGAGGTGTATGATTCTTTAAGGACATACTAAAGCTATATCCTCGGGAGAAAAAATATCTGATAATTTAACGAGTATGCTTTTGTATTCACATGACAATGGCTATTGCCTCTTTTGGTGATCATCCTGTGTTTTTCTAGCAGTCCCTTAAATTTGGCAATGTTGTTATTTATTGTTTAGCTAGGCCAGTTAATGAACAAAAATTTGCTGCAGAGCTGGCAGCAGGAAACTGCTGCTACCTGTATGTGTTCTTCTTTCATAGGTTTAAAATCACAAGTCTAGATTGCCATGTTAAGTTCTCAAAGTTAATTCCTGCTTTACCCTCCTCTTAATATGTTGCTACTGATCTTCCCTTTACAAACATCTGCCAAGTTTCCCCCTCCTCATCTGCCGTATCGACATAAACAGAGTATTTAACAATATTATCTCTTGAGGATTTTCAACAGTGTTTTATAATATACTTTTCCTGTTACAAAACAGCTCTTAGATCAACATTTCCAGTTAATGAACATGCAAATTTCAATGGATATTATCCTCTGCATATTAAAGCTTGGTGATTTTGGTTGCATTTGGGAGCCAATTCATGCTTCTTATATAGCTGCCAATGGCCTTTCCTTGACTAATATTTGTCTCATGTCAATGAGTTGTTTGATAGAAATTTTGCAAGGCTATATACCTTTTATTTGTATGTGTAGAAAATCAAAGGTAACATTTAGTTTATCAGTGGTCTAGGAAAATTGAATAGATGTTAAAATTAGGGAAAGGTGCTGGCAAACAAAGAAAAATACTAGCTAATCGCTGGTTTTAGAAAATTGAATAGGTGTTAAAATTTAGGAAAGGTGCTGGCAAACAAAGAAAACTACTGGAGTAGAGAGCTAGGGATGGGCATGAATTGAATTTGATTATGCAAATTTATGTTGAGTTAAGAAGATGGAGTAATTCCACTGGTATCAAAGAAGGGTAGGAAGTGGAATATGTGAATTAATAAGTCACTAATTGTTTTATGCTTGTAGTTTTAAACCTACAATTGAGGGACATGTGTGGGCAGCAGGAGAACTCCTTGTAACCCAGTCTGCTGAAAATATTTGTTCGTCAGTTAATTTGCCTTCTAGGGTATGCTTGGTAGATCTCACAGCCAATGAACAGGGTAAATATTAACATTCTTGAAGCTGCCTGTTTCTATGATGTATTCAGTTTATGGTGCACGATGCAACCTGTAATGGCTGTTTTTAAGTATGAAAAGTTTATTGATATGCGTATTGATTATTTATTTGAACTTTGCATTGTCCATAATTCTAAGGAAGCATTTTGCCCGTGGAATGTAAATTTATGCTCACGTTGTAGGCTACAAGTGCTGGATTGAAAGAACAAGAGGCTATCAATTTCCTGGAAAAGAAAATGAAAAATGACCCTGCTCTCTCGTATGAGGAAACTGTGCAGGTACTTGTGCCTATTTCCTGTTTCCTGGAAAGGACATGCTTAAGGACTCTGTTTTTTCTCTTTAACTCATCATTGGCCTTCTAATATTATTTGCAGAAGAGAAATATACCCTTTCCTTATCAACAATTAAGTGTTTTTATTTTCCTTGTTCTGAGTTTGGAGGTAGCTCAATAAGCATAGAATTTTTTCAGGCCATAGAATGTGCAACAGCTAAGTAATTTTAATTGGTCGTGGTGTTAAAGAATTTCAAGGGTATGGCTTTACAGTAGTTTGGATGATTTTTGTTATGGATTAATTGATTTCCTGTGTTATGAGAGGATTCTGTGTGTAGTAGTAGAAAATAATTCAAATGATAAATGTTATTTATTCTTGTTTTATTATTAGACAAATTGGTTTGAAACTGCTTTTAGCTTATTTCTAATGTTTGTTCCAAACGTAAATTATATATGTGATGGTCGTAATACAACATATTGGTTGTGTTGTGCAGACTGCTATTTCTGCTCTGCAATCTGTTCTTCAAGAGGATTTCAAGGCCACTGAGATTGAGGTTTGATGTTTCACTTCATTAATTTCAATAGTTAGTGATACTAGACCAGTGGTGTTAAAATGACTGAAAACAAAAGGATAATGGTATTAAATATACTGTAAAGGCAGAGATTCAAGTAAAGAAACGTTAATGTAATTGTCATCTCTGATACGAGTGGCCTGTGATTGAACTCTGGTATTTCCATTTCTGTTAAGGTGGCTTTCTGCTGTTATGTTTTCAATAGAATTTGGAATCTTGGCACATCTGTCTTTTCTTTTTCCACTTTCTTATACCATTACAGTATGGACTGAAAAATGCTCTTTAATCAATCTATTTGTACAAGTAAAATGGTTTCTAACAGTCAGTGCTTGATTTTGGCAGGTGGGAGTTGTGAGAACAGACAATCGTGTTTTTAGAGTCCTGTCCACTGAGGAAATTGATGAACATCTAACTGCCATTAGTGAACGTGACTGAGTTTGTGGAATAATGAGAGCCAGTTCGTTATGCTTATCATTTGAAGTTGCCAAAACATACTTGATTAATTATGTAGTTTGACAGGGAAAAAAAAAGAAAAAAAAGACAATTTGTTTTGGATTATATTCCCAGATTTGGCCCTAAATTTGTTAAATTGCCAAATCATGTTACAATCATTACCATTTCTGTAGTTATCTGTCTGTGCCTGTCTGTTGTTTTCCAAGAAATGATTGAGAGCTAAATTGCCTCAGTTTAGGTATAAACTTCTGCTTGGTATAAACTATTGTTTTATGTATGGCTGGGTTAATGAGAGGTCTGGATTTCTCGGTGTACTGGAGAAGGCCGGATCAATGAAAATTTTGACAGTAACCTATGCAGTAGATGATTTCTTGCTGGGTCTAGTTGATATCATCTAGTTCTATGGATCAAGAAAATCCGAAGACTAGGAAGTCAGTATACAATAGCTCCAGTAGTTATTCCAAATAATCTGGGTTCTAGTCTATGCAACAAAATACCAAAACTTAATTCAGGAGCTTGTCTCTATGTTCTATACTTGTTCTTCAACGTTTGATGGTCTGAATTTTAACTATTAGTTGGATTCAATGGCATCTTTCCAATGAAGTTGGTATTCAGACTTCCCAAGTAAAGGTGATCCTCGAACTCCAAAGCCGTTGTCACGAAAGACATCACTTTGCCATCAGGATCGTCCAACCTCCTGGTAATCTTGCTGTCAGCTGCCACATTTACCACCGTTGCTTTCTTGTACACACCGTTGACTAGGTTAGCCAGCTTCGGAAAGGATGCTACCAAGTGTTTGGATGGCTTTGAGGCGTGCACAAACTCCAGCCCCTCAGACACCAACTGTGGAACATGTTAAACAGAAGTTTGCTGTTTGCACATCAACTGTATTTTTATGGTATGCTGCTATGAGCATGAAGTTTGGTGAGTAGGTTATGATAAGCAATTCTTTTAGTGATCATTCAGGTTCTTTCTTTTCCTGAAAAGAGAATACTAAAATGTAATCTGCAGAGTTGCAAATCTTTGAAGTACCTGTAGTACAGCAATCCAGAAAGAACCATCCGGAGCCAGATGGATGTTATCAGGACCACCAGGGAGATTGTCAATAAAACTCTCTGTTTTCCCTTTGTCCTCTCCCTTCAGCCAATATTTTTGGCATCTATATCTGAGTCCATAGAAAGACGCAAACATTTTACATGCTGAAAAGGGCATATTTTCTTACATCCAATGCATGCACAATTTAAACAAGCACACAGGTCATGGAGCTCAACTACTCCAGGTTATAAAACAGAGTTTAGGAGCTCATTATATGAAGGTACTCACTTCCATGATTCGCAGAAGATCAGATAATCTTCTTCTCTTGAGAGAGCAACGCCATTAGGAAAGAACAAACCATCAAGCAAAATCGATGTCTCGTTCAATGATGGATCATACTTGAGCAACTGCCCATGAGGTTTTGCCTCCAGAAAATCTAGGAACCAGTCATGGAATCCAAATTTGGTGCTTGCAGCACTAAAATACACACTACCGTCCGATGATTCAATCACCTCATCTGCAAACCTAATTGAATCATATAATCAATTTCTTATTTTCTTGCAAAAATGTTTCACTTGGTGTGAATTCTTTCACAAAACACCAACATTTGCTTTTCCAAAGTAATTTGTCTTTTTAGGTTTTGTCTATGGATAAGACTGTTTAAGTTGACTACTGCTGCAGGGATTCTGTGAAGATGAATTTTGTCTTAAACCAATGCAAACAAAATTTCGATTGAAAAACTGGTATTTTCAGTTCATTTAGTTCCAAATCTGATGCATGATAAGTAGTTGTCGGTTTCACGAGAAAAATAACGACTCCTCTATGCATCTAAGGCTCAAGAGCATAGTTTTAAATAACGGCCATTGTGTTATACAATAGCCATTAGGTTTCAGAGCATCTCGTTACTGTTATTTTAGTATTATAATAAGCTGCGATACACGACTGCGATCATTTTTTCAATCATTTGCAATTTAAAACTTGAGCTATGCTCGAGGGTGCCTGTTTGGTTTGGGAGCTGCCACACCTCAAGAGTCCGAACTAAGATTTCCTAATTGCAGACATATATACGTTTCACATATGCAATCAGGCCATACGTAAGTGTTCATATAAGTTTTTGATGTTCAATTCAAGAGCTGTGTCAGCATGAAGGCCTGCCTGTTACCTTCTCTTTGGATGGCCTACATAACTGTGAAGGAGTGAAGTTACTCCACATACTCAATGGCAGAATTGGTATGTTTCTCAAGGGGGAAAGAGAAGGGATGAGGGAGACATCGTGATCTCCTCAACCATGGGGGTGCAGCATGGAATTGAACTCTGAATATTTACCTTATTTTGGACCCATCATTAATATCTGTTGCAAGAATCTCCACTCCATCTTCACTAACCTTAAGCAAACCCTGAAACATCACATCAGTTCATTAATTAGTGCGACTAACTAGCTACTGTTACTGTCTTTACCACTCTAACTAGTAACCTAAATTGCTTTGTTAGCCAGTCATAATTTATTTCATATTCTGGGGTTCTTCTGTTCTGTTCTTTTCTCTGCTTCCAGGCTAACAGTAAGCCTAAACTATATCATGTGCTTGTTTTAGAATTATCTTACCTTTTCAGCATCACAGACGATAAGACCACCATCCTTAGACGTTGCAATTCCAAGTAAAGCATCACTCTCTATCTTCTTCCAATTCTCCCAGGAACCATTCTTATGCATTCTTTTGATCCAACCATCTCTAACAGCTGTATAAAGGATGCCATCTCTATCCACGACAACATCCTCTGGGCGATCCAGAAATCCTTCGCCGAGTTTAGTCACTTTCTACAGGGAATAAATGAACATTTAAAATGCAGATCAGTGTGCTATGAGTAGCAAGCCTAAAATTAGCACAAGCGAAAAGATGATTTTTCAACTGTTTGCCTGCAAGTGCTTGTTTGTGGGTAGAGCTGAAGCTGGAGGCAGTTCAAGCGAGTCCGGAGATATAGGTGAGAAGAAGAAGAGTTGGAGCGTAAAGGCAAGCAAAAAAGCTAGCAGAAAGCCTGAACATGCTGGAACACAACGCCTCATTTTCCTAGCTATCCAAGGCCAGTACGGAAGAGCTGTTTCAGTGAGGTGTGGGGTGGGAAAAAATCTTGATACGGATAATGCTATGTAATATCAAATTCTCAAAAAGGTTGTGTAGAATATTAGGTTAAATTATGAGATAATGTTACAAAAATTTTATAAATACTTGGTCATTAACCTCTGATATCAGATTTATTTTTTCACTCAACCTGAAACTTTACCAAAGCTGGCCTGTTACCAGTCAAAGAGTAAAAAATCCCTTTGATTAAGCCCCCATTCAATCTTATACAATCCCCTAATACTATTTGACAGTAACATATCACAACCTTTTTGTGGTAAAATTTTCTCATCTAAGGCATGACGTGCCATGTTTTGGCTAATTTGTTATTAGAGCCTGACATTTCCAGCAATTGCAGGTTTTCCAAACACAATCACCACGTCAAACAATTGGGTTTGAGCAGTTCTACCAAAACGGAGAGGTTCTTATACAATATTTTATCACTTAATTTACCTCCGTTTCGCTAGAAATTAGGAAATATTTCACTTCAAGCCCTATGAATTGACAAACTTCTCTCAGCAATTAATTGGTACCATCCCTGCGAATGTCCATTTCCGTATTTACAATATGAGTTTTTTTTTCCTTTTTTCTTTTTTACTGCAGGCATGTGTATGACGGTAGCAAATTCAGTATTTTCATCAACTTCTTCCAAATCATGACATCTGCTGCAGTCTGGATACAGGGCTGTCAGCTTTGCTTTCAATTACAAACATTTCAACTTTCACAATGAAGTTTCTCCTTTTATATGCCCAAATAAAAATTGGGATTTGGGATGCTCAAATTTCATAATGAAGAAGGTTGGTATCTATATCACTCGGATTCAGGGATCTGTATCTGACAGGGATGTGTATCCAGCATGCATACCCATATTGAACTCCTATATTTTTCATTTTTTCTTTCATGTATTTAGAGGGTCTAAATGTCTAGGCTCATGTCCTTACAATATTGTCGGACACGGGGCAGGGATATGTAAACCAAAAAACACTAAACCCATCGGTTATTGCTCCGGTCACTTTTTTTTTTTTTTTTTACTGTACATTAAACCATGACTAAACTGTAACATGTGAGTTGGCAAGCTTAGAATCAGAGAAAAAAATTAAATGAAGAGTTGTCATCTAGTGTCTTAACTTATTTTTTACCGTCCATAATTTTTTTTATCTTATACAAAGTTTTAAAAAATTAAAAAAAAAATTGGATTTTGCATTAGTTTTTAGATTTTTCATAATTTTTAGGATTTAAACTCTTTAGGATTATCTCCCAAAAAAAAAAAAAGAAGGAAATTTTGAAAAAGAAGGAAATTTTGAAAAAAAGAAAGAAAGAAGAGAATCGGATTTGGTTTCATGGAAATGACCTAACTGAAGACTAATTTAGAAGTTGTGAGGACTAATTTATAGAAATTAGAGCATAAAGAGATCAAAATAGCCTGAATAAAGGGACTTAATGGCAGAAAATTAGAAAACAACATGACTAAAATAGAAGAAGAGTATGAATAAAGAGACCATTTTCAACCCGTCAAAACCTTCTAAAGACGATAGCTCCTCTCCCTTCCCTAATCTTGTTGGCATTTTTATTCATATCCATATCTCATGCATCAATTTTATCTCCCGAACACCCAAAACAAAAACACAAGACAACAAAATTTGTCCTTAGCATCCTTTGATTCCCTTCACTCCAAACCTTATAAGAACAACACACAAAGAGCATGCAAGGGAGAGGAAAGAAAGAGGATAAGGGTGGATTGTCCCATACTCATAAGAAGGAAAGTTTGAGATCGAGAAAAGAAGATCTAAGATGCAGAATGAAGCTAGGGTTAGATAAAAGCCAAGAGAAAAGAAAGAAAAAAAGGGGGGGGGGGTTAGAATTTTTGAAGGGTGATTTGGTTTTTTTAGGAGAGAGAAAGAGTAAGACAAGAGAGAAAAGAGAGAAAGACAAATAAAAAAAAAAGGAAAAAAGAGTTTGTGGAAGGAAAAAAAGAGCTTAGAGAGGAAAATGGTAGAACAAGTGAAAGGAAAAAAAAAAAAAAACATCATCCAAACATCTCAGCAAGTTTGGAAACAAGCTAATTTATCAAATTCAAGCCTTTTAACTAGTTTTGAATTTTAATAGGTAATCTTTTCCTCTTTTTACTTCATCCTTTGTCAATCTTAACAGAGAAAAACATATTTGGATGTTCATTAATGCTAATAGATCTTATAGTCAACCTAAACCTTAATGAATATAGATGTTGGTCTGTGTTTTATATGTTTGACACAACTCTAAATGTTTTTAGCTTCTAATTTTCTTTTGAAGGAAAACCATTTATTGTCACAAATATGTGTGTAAAATTTCAGATCTTTAGAATTTAGGATGTATTCTCATTTAAATAATCTTGTTAGTGACTATAGTGGTAGTCACTTAGTGTAAAAAATAACAACTATCATGTTTTAAATATTTGGCATGACCTTGGATGTTTTTAAGTTGAATTTTTTTTTTTTATAAACACCATATACTTGTATATAATTTGTATGTGAAATTTAATATCTTTATAAGGTAGGATGGTTTTCAATTTATGTTGTTTTGTTGGCTACTATAGTATTGATTTTTCAAGCTGAAAATGACTACTATTTTGTGCTAAATTTTGGTAAAATCCTTGATGCTTTTACCTTCTAATTTGTTTTATGAACATCATCTATTTTTCTTTAATCATTTAGGTCATCTTATTTGTTGCACTAGCGATTATTAGCCATAAAATAGTTATTGCTTGTGTTTCGTATGTTTAAGGTAGCTCTAGATGTTTTCATTCTGAATTTTTTTATATGAACATCATCTATTTGTCCCTAATCTTGTGTTAAATTTCAAATTTTTAGAAAATAGGATGTCATTCATTTAAATCATCTTGTTAGCTAAGGCGACAATAATTTGTCAAACCAAAATTAGTAGCTATTATATTTCATATGTTTGATATATTTTTAGATTTTTTAAATTCTAATTTTCTCATATGAGTATCTTCTGCTAACCTTTCAATCAGGCTCAAAATTTTAGAATTTTAGAATGTGTCTTAACCTTTTATTTAAATTATGTTTCATTATTATTGCATTTATCGTGGAGGATTTGGAATTGTCAAGTCTCTTAGATTCTATAGATTAAAGATAATTTCATGCAATTTTATATTTATAATTAATAAAAGGCATCCCATCTTGGATTAATTTGGAGAATAAGTCAAGCCGGCGAATCTCTTATTTAATAAGGATCGATGGTAGTCTCGGTGTTTTATTTGAAATGAATGGCTAGACAATAAAAATTAGTTAGGGTTAGAAATGTGCCAACTTTGTTCTGCATTTCACATAAAAACCTTGGATTACTAGGTTGTTCCTCAACATGCTAATTGTTATAGGAATAAAATAGATCTAATACTAAATTGATGAATACGATTTCATAAAAAAAAAATCAATCTTTGAGACATTTTCTCATCAACATTCAAATTAAATGCCTACGACTAATAGGTCATTCTTTGACATGCTAATCATGTCGAACGAAATTGCATTCGATGCAATTTTGGGATCGAACATCAATTTAATATGATTCTACAATAAAAAATAAAATCCATTCTTTGAACTTAGATAAATAAACTTGGAAATAGATTTAGAAAATAATTTGACAAACATAACTTTTAGAAGATAATTTTAGAATTAGACTAAACCCAATATCTTTCTTTAGAAGGGGTGTCTTTGGGTGATTGTTATATTTATAAAAACATAACCAACTCCTTACTCAAAATCTCCGAATTCATTACCTTCTTTAGGCTTTTTAGTTTCTTTCAATATTAGGTGATAAGTCATTATCATGTCGAACGAAATTACATTCGATGCAATTTTGGGATCGAACATCAATTTAATATGATTCTACGATAAAAAATAAAATCCATTCTTTGAACTTAGATAAATAAACTTGGAAATAGATTTAAGAAATAATTTGACAAACATAACTTTTAAAAGATACTTTTAGAATTAGACTAAACCCAATATCTTTCCTTAGAAGGGATGTCTTTGGGTGATTGTTATATTTCTAAAAACATAACCAACTCCTTACCCAAAATCTTTGAATTCATTGCCTTCTTTAGACTTTTTAGTTCTTTTCAATATTAGGTGATGACTCTAAAACCTTCTTAATTCTTTTTTCATAGCTCAAAAATTTAGAAGTCCCATATATTGAGTACCCACAACATGATTGCTTTATTGGGGATTTAGAGTTAGGCTATAGGTTTAGTCTTTTTTTTAAAAAAATTATCTCCTTTATTTATATTTTCTATTTCAACTTCAAGTAATTTATTTTCTAGGTACTTATTTGTTAATTATTTAATTCAAGTTATTTACTTCATGCAATTTATCTTCATGTATTTAATTTTTTATGTATATTGTGAACTAGATTAGATGCATTTGTTTTAGGTTGCTACTCATGTGTCATGAAAAGCATGCAAAAGTTCTAGACCTTAGCCAAAACCTTTTAGGATTTAGATATAGAGATTTAGATGACAAGTATGATGAAAGTCTATCGATGCTCATCTCGGACTCTTGTTTGGATTGAAACTCACCCTATATATGAAAAATTATAGAATGTCCTTCTCATATCTCTTGTTGTATAAGGTTAGAGGCTAGGTTATCGTACTACTAATCTAGGCAATCTAGACATTTAAAAAGCTTTTAGGACTAGAAAACTTTCACATAAATCCTTTTTTAAAAAGCTAGATCCTATATGTTAGAGTTGCATCCATTAAGACATGAAATCTTTTGTGATATTGCCCATTCTAGGCTTTGTTTTGATAGATTCTTATCAAAGCAAATCATTTGAAACATGCAACATCAAGTTCGTGTATCCAACTCAATTCACATTTTACATATATACATTTATTTTATGTATATATTGTATATATTTATTTTGAGTTTAAAATAGGTTAAAATATAGGCTA